GAAAGAAAGAGAAAGAAGTAAACACACAAATGCACTGCATATTTGGATAATGAGGAATTAACTGCTTAGTAGGCAATACCACTTAAGAAGTAGAGATGGGAGGTTTTAGTTTGATGGTAATATCAGTGTTGGCGCCATGATGAGGAAATATTATTGTTTATGTTTGGTGTATTAACTTTTCTTTGAAGTAGGCCCATATTTCTGGAAAAAAGTGCTTTATATATGGTTTTTACTTCCAAGTGCAAACCTGTTCATTCCATTGTTCCTAAGTTAGTGATGGCAATTTATACCCAGAGTACTCATTTAATGGCATACGTATAATTAACTTTCCCCCAAAGTTAAGGAAGGACTCAGCTATTTTGACTCCTGCATATTTAAGTGTGTGGTAGATCATTTCATTCATTTTTAATCAGCTGTCCTCTATTTACGGTATTGCACTGACAATTTCCAGAGGGATAGTTATGTTGGTTACAGCAAAAATAGCAAAGAGTTTTGTGCCGCACACTCAAGATGGAGCAAATGTATTAAGGCATCAGCTTTCGCAGATTAGAATACACTCAATCACATGCTCAAAAACTTATGGCCTAATAACTTTAAGGTGCCATGATACTTTTTCTGTCATCATTGACAGAATCAGTGTTCAAATTTGATGCCTATTAAAGGTGTTGCTTTAAAAAACCACTATCTCTGATGGCAGCAAAGGAGCAGCAAATCAGGGTCTCTGTCCAAAACATTGCAAGGGCATCAGGTTGGAAAGGCTGCGGTAAAGGAAGTGCTGAGGGTGTGTGCTCACAATGGAATGTGCACAGCGTGGCATAATCTTAGAAGTGCCACCTCCTATAATTGCTGCTGAAGTGGATCTATCTGTCACTGTGATAGCAGGAGGAGATGCCACATGCAAATGCATTTTATACAGCCATAGTCTCATATGGGAAGTTTGTTGAGGGAAAAACACCCTGATGGGCACATTTCTGAATCATGGCTATTCTGTGGTGAATGTAGATGCCCTAAGGAATTCTAAATGCTCCTGTTTAGCAAGGACTTCCGTTGTTAAAAGAGAATTTGTGGTTCAGGAGGGGGAAGATGTTGTTGAAGGTGAAATGGTGTGAATAAGATTGTCCTGTACTCGTGTATTTATATTTGCATTTCCCCCTGCCTTTCTGTGACAAGGACACCGAAGGTGGTCTACAGTGCAAAATTATACATCATAGAGCAAGTTAGACTACAGGGTGTGCATGCAAAGTAGAAACATGAAAAGTTGAGTGACTTTGAGAATGTCATGTGGCAGGTTAATATGAGACAAGACATTTAGAGAATGTAGCCCTGAATACAGGCCTGAATTCCTCAGTGGTGTAGTCTGTCCCCAAGTGTTCATCCATCTACTTTTGAAGCCAGGGAAGCATAATTGTGCATCCCAATTGTTCCTTTTATATTTGAAGCATTCAGGAAAGGCAAAGACCTCAAGGCTCAATGCTGATATCTTTATCATCTGCCATCATTTGCAATTGAACAGTTCAGTTCCTCAGGCCATGTACTTGGCTCTGGCAAATCCTTTGCAAAAACCAGCCACCCCATGTCTGATGGTCTTTCCTTTTCTGAAGCTCTCAGAAAAAAGGAATAAATTTAATAAAACACATTCACGACTGGTGGATATAGACAGGGAACTTCACAGTTATGTTTTTACAAGCGAAGTCCCTTGAAAAAATGTCACATTGAGCATGTTGTCCTAAAATGGACAAGTGCATGAGGGGAAATTATCCCTCCTCCCCATAAATTAATCTGTGACAAGCCTCACTAGCAGTTTGACGTATTCTTGGGAAGAAGACTTATTGGAAGCAAGCTCCCCACTACCCTACTCATAATGACCCTTCAATATATTAAAGTTGGGGCTGATAGGAGCTATAGTCGGAAACAACTGGAGGGCACCAGGATGGGGAATAGTGGCTTAAAGGATCGTGAAAGGTCAATTGTTCCCTGTCCCATCATAGGGCTTTAATGTGTGAGGGGGAAACTGAAGGGGTCCCAAACTGAAGGGAAGGAACCCTCAGGCTGCTTGCTTCCTTTCATTCTTTCAGTTTCAGCTGAGGTAAAGACTATCTCCAACATACCCACAACACACTTTTGATTCAAAGCATGTTTCCATGCTGAATGCCCCCTTGGAAAGCATTAAATAAAAACATCTCTGGAATGGGCTCTGAAGTATGTTGAAACTCAGATCTTCATATTATTATTATTTAAATCAAAATAAAGCTAGCTGGCATGAACTGTTAGATGTGAATTGTACACATTCTAAACTATTGTTCTCTGAGGGCGAGAGGAGCCCATTTAAGACATGACTGTGCTGCTTACAATAACAAAAAATATTTGGCTCATTCTTTTAATCAAGAATATCTGTGCACATGTAGTTTTTAAAGTACAGTATGTGTGCATTTTTGTGGATAAAGTTTGAGAAATGTAGTTTCTAGTTCATCTTTAGATTAGAAGATGGGCTGAAAAATGCTGGGAGGGAAACTAATGAAGGATGAGCAACTTGGGCCATGCAGGGATTTACTCAGTTTACATATGGCTCACACTCTTTTCTTAAAATTTTCTGCCTCATTGTACACCTTGTGTCACACGTGAGAGCTGGAATCCTGCCAAGAAGGAAGGAGCTTAAACAAAACTGGAAACATGGTGAGGCAAAACTAGCTCAGTAGTTTGTGCCATTGTTTACATGTGGATTCTATGAGTGTTTCTCTCTGTGCTCACAAAATCTTCAGAAGTCTCCCATCCCACCTATTATTGGCTAGTCAAATACTAGCCATTGAGCATGGGGGATGGAATGAGGGCTTGTATCTAGAACCGAGGGCAAAGTTTGGCCTTCCAAGTCTGGCCCAGATTGCCATGCATCTGTTTTGTTCTGAAGAACTCAGAAAGGGAACCCAACCCATATATCTTTAGCCCAAGGTTATGACCCGGAAGTGTCTCCGGGCAGCGCTGGCCCCCGGCCTCTTGAGTGAGATGGGCACACAACCCCAGAGTCTGGCAAGACTGGCCCGTACGGGCAGGGGTACCTTTACCTTTACCTTATGTCCATCTACATAACCTTGCACTGGGTTTGTTTTCAGAGTTTTCGTAGAGAGTGACAAGGAGGCCAAATACAGAAAATGACAAATACATAGAAACATGTGTGAAAGATGGACCTTTGACCTCAGTCGAAAGGTGTATTAGAGAAACCATTTGGCTTCATCTAGCAAATTCTCTCCAACATTTGAACAAATTTAAGTGAGCAAGCGTCTCCCATAAAAGTGAGGGTTGTGACACCACCAGTGCTTTGAAATACTATTCCTATTGAAATCAGACAAATGCCTACAATTTTGATATTTCATCTGCTGAAAACATTTCTGGTTTGCCAATCATTTTCAGAGAAGTAATTAGATTCAGTGTTGGCCATTTTTTTCTGTATTTCATGATTTGGTAATGTTTTGATGGTTTTATTATTCACTGCCATGATATTTTTATGAGCTGACTGTTCAGAATTATTAATTTCAAAATAGAAATGTACTTTTAACAACTTAGTCTAGAACTGCTTTTTAAAAAATGTATTCACACAACACGTTCACACACCCCAGCCTTCAGCCTCCCCTTGAGTGCAGTGGCGGAGCTTCATGCTCTGGAAAGCAGGCGGGGGCGGGGGCAGGGTGCACGTCCTGTGGGCAGGGCGCGGGGGTGGGGGTGGGCAGCCGCAATGGCACCCTGGGGATTGCACTGCCGGGGGCGGTGCGCTCCCCCCGCACTCCTCTTCCTCCACCAGTGCCTGAGTGCTATAGTTTTGAAAATCCTCTAGGTACACTTTTCGAGATTTGCCTCATATAGCCTCTTTGGATTAGGTTGAGAAGAAGAAATGTTGCAGGATGTGCTGGCAAATAGAGGTTTGTTTCTTGTCTAGTACTAAAATTACCGCAAGTGCCTCAAGCACTGGATATTGAAATGAATGAGTTTTTTTGCCAAGCGGCCATTATGGCCGAGAGAAGTTCATGTACTATGCATACTTTAATTTCCTCACTCTGTTTCTTGTGGGAAATACTAGGGTTGCATTGCCAGGAACTTTGAGCCATTGAACCTTGGATGGCAGTTTCTCAGTGTAGTACCTCAGGCTCTGGACTCTCATTCTGTTCATCCAGACTTGCCGCTGGATCCTCCTGGACAGGAAGAGACCCCTATTTCCCTCACAGTTAAGAGGGGAATGTTAAGAGACCCCTATTCCCCTCACAGAGCTATAATTTCCAGAGTTTCCTGGGAAGAGATATTGATTGTTAAACTGCTCTGGGAACCGTAGCTGTGTGAGGATAATAAGGCTTAACAACTCTCAGTACCCTTAACAAACTACAGTTCCCAGGATTCTTTGGGGGAAGCCATGACAGTTTAAAGTGGTATGCTACTGCGTTAAATACATAGCACAGATGGGACTATGTGCGGTTTTTCATGGAAATGTAAAGGATTTTATGTTCAGTCAAGCATTTGGTTTGCTTTCTGTTTTTCTCCTTTTTTAATTTCCTTGCTGTGTTTGTTTGTTTGTGTATGTGTGTGTTTAAAAAAACTTGCTCTGTGCTGTTTCTTTTTTATGCATTGTTACAATTTTAGTGTATATTTTGTGATCTGTTTCTCTATACATTTTAAGCTGCCATGAGCGGAAAGGCATAGTAAAAGGAAGTAAACCAACGAACAAAGTTGTTCGTGAAATCGAATGTACAGGCAGACTTATGTACTATAAACAGCAAAGAGCACTGTCATGTTACACTTTGACTGCCGGAAAACTTTGATAAATACTTTGTCCTAGCCTCTTAAGTTGTTGTTACAAATAACCTTTGTGCTGCATCAAGTTAATGTTTGCCAAAGGGAACACCAGTTATTCATGCAAGGTGCATTGCCTTAGGTTTTTTTTTTTTTAACCATCTTCTTATTTAATTGCACAAGAAAATACTTGTGTACCGCCTTGAGATTTTTGCCCTTTACGCACCTACCTTCTTCGTGGAGCATGTTTTCCAATTGCAAGAACGGGAGCGTTGCTGGAGAATTCAAAAGAGAGAGCCTGCTTTGGTAAAACTTGCAGACTCTGAGCTAAGGGAGGAACTGGCAAAAAATACTACCTACCTGCCTGCAGGCTAGTCGGCTTCCCTTCTTCAGAACTTCCCTGCTTGTGCAAGCAGGAGCTCCATCCTTCCTCCACCCAGTCTCCGAGGGAAGACGGAGCAGCCCAGCCTGCTAGGTGGTTTCGGCCTTTTGTGCGCTGGCTTCCTCTGCCTCAGCAGCAAGCAAGTGCACAGAGGGAACATTCCGGCAGGCTGCTTTCCTGCAGCTGAGGAGACGACATTCACGGACCTCCTTTTGATTAGGATATGTCACTGTTGTCAGGGCAACTGTTAACGGTGGCGTATCATATTTTCTCCTCTTGGGCTGCCTGCTGAATATTTCAGTGTGCAGTAGCTGGAAAGAAGAAGAAGAAGAAGATACAGGGAGGGGGGAAAGGTGCTGCATCAGGAAGGACAGAAGACGTGGGATCTGACTGAACAGGTTTAAAGGCGTCAAGAGGAGGAGGAGGAGGTTTCCAAACCGATGGGCCTTTAATTAAGGCCTTTTATTTTATTCCGTCAAGGTGGAGGAAACTGCAGGCCCTCGTCTGCCAAGTGGATGTTGGTGTTCGTCAGCTGTTTGTGCACTGCTTATACCCATACAGGATCTGTTACAAATGAACGAGCTGCTTTGCAGCTAGCTAGCTGCTAAGTGAAGTCTGGGACTGATATATTGTAGTAAGGAAGAAGATAGCAACATGCCTGGTTCGTCAACCGCTATCCGGCAAGAGAGGCTAAAGAAGGCAGGCGTGAGGCCAAATACACCTGTTCTGTTCACCATTAATGAGGAAGATGAGCAGCAAAAGAATGGCAAGTCCAAGAGACTGAAAGGTATGCAATACTTAATACAGGGAGCGAGGGCTCTCTGTAGGATATTCAGCTCAGCAAATAGTATATTTTGTTAGCTGTGTTGCTTATTCTTCCTAATGGGTAGGATTTGTCTGTTTTGTATCTCTGACTTTTTTGCATGCTGAACGTGTTTGTTTCTAGTGAAATATTATTGCTAGATTTCTGGATTTTAACTCTTCTGGGCTGTAAACCTGTGCCTTCTGCTTCTTGTTGTGATATGTTTATCACATAAAATAAAATGCTATATCTTTTTAGTCACACAGTCAGTTAACAGCGAAGCTCTGATAATGTAAAGAGGCATTTGTGTTTCTATTTAGGGAATAAGTGTTTGTTTTATTCCTTTGGCACATTCTGATAAAACGAAGTCATTAAAATGGAGAAACCACTGAGGAAACCAGACGACTGAGGAAACTAACGCAATATGAAATTTTCAGCTGGTGTTTGTGCAGATTGTGGTGGCGTTATAGATAGTTGGGTACACATTTTTGCTCAAGTACAGTACTTAAAACATCTGACCCAAAACATCAATACTCTCCAGACATGCTTTGAAAGGAGGTTTTATAGAGAATTGCTTGGCAAAATCTCAACTAAACATCTGTAGTCATCATAATAGCTTCCCTTCCCCCAGGATTTTTGAGGTTCTGATTATCTCCCATTCAGTCTCAACCTTTAACCTGGGACTTGGGGTGACTGCACTTCTTACTGCTTTTTCACCTTTGCATTCTCAGCTGTGAGAATTGAAAACGTTACATTAGAATTCCTTCCTAACAGTACTGTGAAATCATGAAAAACAGCTGTCAGGTTTTTGGTAGTATTTATTAAGTAGGAGGACTTCACACAGTTCAGTTGTGTTGTTGACATAGTGATCATTTATTTTCCCTGTTCATTCAGCCAGATAACCCATGGGAGGGTTTGACAGGCTAATATTTACAGATTTAAACAGCATTCATGTTTACCTTGTGCTAGGTTGTTTGAAAATGACAGTTACATTCATGTGCTCAGCTGAATAGTTAACTCCCAGGAGGCTGGGTACTTCAAAATATGCACTTCAAAGTTTTTAAATGCTTGCTTTGAAATGGAGGGAAATTATTCAACAAACCTAAGTGAGCTATTGAATATTTGCTGTTCTAGTTAATCCCCACCCCAAGTCCCAAACTACTTATGCTGGGAAAGCCACGGCTACTTTAGCTTCTTGTTTATCTATTTTAATGTACGTATGTCATAATCCCAGTAGAAATTATATTCTATGCAATTACTGGGGGAAATTAACTTGGAGCAAATGGGCTTGTTAGAAACTGAGCCCTTCCAAACTTGTTTACCTTAGCACTTCAGTTTCCAGGACACAGATTCTTGTTTGGACATTCGCTTTCATGTTGAAGTGTCCATTCGGGTGCTCTCTTCAAAGTGCGTTTTGCATGATATTAAGGAGGGTTAACCTGGTGCCCCTACACCATGGGTAGGCAAACTGAGGCCTGGGGGCTGGATCTAGCCCAATCACCTTCTAAAACCAGCCCCCAGATGGTCCAGGAATCAGCGTGTTTTTACATGAGTAGAATGTGTCCTTTAATTTAAAATGCATCTCTGGGTTATTTGTGGGGCCTGCCTGGTGTTTTTACATAAGTACAATGTGTGCTTTTATTTAAAATGCATCTCTGGGTTATTTGTGGGGCATAGGAATTTCTCCCCCCCCCAAAAAAAAATAGTCCGGCCCTCCACCAGGTCTGAGGGACAGTGGACCGGCCCCCTGCTGAAAAAGTTTGCTGACCCCTGCCCTACACTGTTGCTGCTGCTTATGTGTGCCAACAGATGGGGGCAATAATGTTTAAAGCTTCAAAGTACCATTTCCCCCAGCTTGCTGGAGTGAAAATCTCACCTGGCTGTCATCTTAAAGTACTTTGAAGCCTCACTATAAGTGCACCATCAAGACTGAGATTCATAACATGTTTACTTGGGGAAATTTTCCATTGATAAAGGAGTACTTACTTACATGTAAATTTTGTTAATATCTGGGGGTTTGGTTGCAATTCGTTTAGAAGAGATTTATAAATTTCAACCAGTTTTTCTGGGTGGTTTACATATGAAAGAAATAACTATGTTTCTGTGTAAGACATTCTGTACACATTTGGTTCAGTGAAATCCTTAGCAATATGATGTCATATTGCAAGAGAGAGTGACAGATCTGTTGGCCTATATCAGCCTATATGAAAGTGGACTCATTACGTTGAAATCCTGATTTATTGGCCATTTATTGTATATTACAGTTTGTTTATGAATGTATTCTCCATATTCCAGTATTTGCAGTTAAGTCCACCTACCTATCACCAAAACAATTTGCTATTTCTTCTGAATGAAAAGAAGAAGAAGATGCTTGTTCAATTTCAGCTGGTGATGCTTGCAAGACCAGTGACACTTTATCCTGATCTTTCTGATATCTCCTGTCAAAAACCCTGGAGAGCTGCTGTCAATACGTATAGGGCAACTTTCTAGGCTTCTTGCAAGCTGTTTAGTGTCTCTTCCTCTCCTTGTTCAGTAACTCTGTGCATTGAGCCTATGTTAATGGCTTTTCATTGTATGCTGTCCTTGTAAATCACTTCAGGACTCCAATCTTCTCTAGGTGCTCCAGTACCTTTTGTTACTTGTATTTCTTCTAGCTTTTTTTGAATTGATAATGGCCATTATATACTTTCAGAGATGCACTCTGGACTCCCAGTGCACCAGAGGCCTGCCATTTCTTTTGTACACAACTGCTGATTCTTTGGTTCAGTGCACATTGATTCAGACAGAGTTGATAGAAGGAAAAGCAACCTGGTTTGGATAAACAAAACAAAACAAAACAAAACAAAACAAAACACAAAACCCCAGTCATGCAAATCAGTCCTTGAATTTCTGGTGTCATTTATTCCCCTCCTGTGCAAAGCTTCTTGAAGTAGTGCTAAAACAAATGGCCTTTAGCAGTTCAGTAGCACACATGTGGAGCATCTTGGGTAACAACTTAAGTAAGCTAATCATAAGCTTGTTTTAGCTGGGAGACTTCTAAGTGATGGAGTCAAATTCCTCATCTAGATGGATCTATCTCTTGATTTAGAAAAGTATGACTCAACAGAATGTAAGGAATAGCCATTATTTTACATACCATTGTTTGTGGCTTATGGTTTATATTTTTGATCTGTCCATTGAACAGGGGAAAGTAGTTGCTTTTTTTTTTACTTTAAAAGATATGACTGTTGAGCTAAGTGACTTAGCCTACAGTACTAACCCCACTTGCCTGGGAGTAAGCCCTACTGACTTACTTCTGAGTAGATACCATCAGGCTTGCACTGTTTCTTTGAAGCCTTTGAAACAAAACATTAACAACAGTATTTCTTTAAAGACAGACTCTTCTTTTCTGTATTGCTACCTGTTCATCCAGATGCAATGTTAGTATTTGTTTAACATTAACCAGCCAAATATATCTATTGGAGAAGAATATTTCAATGCATTGAACATTTTGGTAAGCCATACGTATATTATATATAACAACAACTTCTCCTATGTCTTAAAAGTGATGTCTCTATATTTAGTACTCATTTCAGGTACTGACTTTTGTGATAACAAGTTTGTGGTTGACTTTTGTAATTAAGCATCTAAGTTTCTTGTAATTTTGATTTATTTATTTTTAGTAAACAAATAAATTGAAACCTAAATGTTTAAAGTGGAAATGAGGCAGAGAGAATCTTCAGTCAGCTGATAACAAGGGCAGTCAAATGTGTTCTGGGCCTGTGAACAATAATATCAATTCTCTCCTTCTCTCTGACACTTTGAAAACAAATGAAGAAAAGGCCCCTTTTTTCTTAACTTTGGTGCATGGCAGGGATGTTGGTGATGATCACAGAAGTTTAACATCTGATTCTTTCATGCTAATGATACTGTGTGACTGCGTTTCCAGCAATGAGCTTTATTTTGTTCATCCAGAAAGATGAGAGAGATTTATTTTAATAGCAGCTGTGTATTTTGTAGTCTTCATTGTTCTGAAAGTGTGTTATGTGTGTATGTACGGGGCATGGGAAGTTGTATCTAATTTTGTGAAAGTAGGCAGTGGGCTATTTTATTGTATTTGTTCTAAAAGATGGGACTGAGAAACTTGACTTTTTCAGTCGGTAGGACTTACTCATGATGTTAGTAGTCATAAAAAGTGACATGTGGTAGTCAGGGGTGTACCTAGAGGTTGGCTAGGTTGGCCCCCACCAAGGGCCCAGGCCCAGGGGGGCACAAAAACCACACCCCTCCACTCTGGCTCAGAGTGACTTATAGCCTGCCCACCTACCTGCTCTCTGGGCTGCTCCTCCGCTGTTCTGGGTGGCTGGTTGAGGTGTGCAGGCTCCTCTGTGTGACTTGGCGGAGGAATCAGCTCGCTGGCATGGACCATTACAGCAACCCTATGGGGCCTCCTCCACAGTCAGCCAGTGCTGCTATAGAAGCCAGTGGGGCTTGGAGAGGAAAAATAGGAGGGAACAGGCAAGAGTTGCAGGAAGAGGAAAAAGGAAGGCAGGCAGGCAGGCAGGCAGGCAGGCAGGCAGACGGACTGATGGAGGAGGAGGTAGTGGCACAGAGTGGAGAAGACCTGACCCCATTGGCTGTGGAGGAAGTCACTGATGGAGCACGAAAGGTGATGAAAAGCAAACTTTTGAGTTTCTGGTTCATTGTTACACCCAGCTTCAGAGGCACCAATACAATTCCTTTCCAAGGGAGCAAGGGACGAGGGGTGCTGATACATCCCCTTATTAAGGGTTAAAGGGAGCCTAGGTAGGCCTCTGGTGGTAGTTGTGGATATTGAAATCCAGAGAAGGTACACAGGGCAAAAAAACTGGAAATGCAAGCCTTTTCTTTCACAGCTGAGCCAGTGGTTGTCTGTCTGAAACTTGGCTCTTAAATCTGAAAAGACAGGCTGGTTCCCATGCTGGCTTATTCTTTTACATCTTACCTAGTACTTGTACCAGTTCAGG